ACAGTGGGGTGCAATCATGTGTGTACAGGGAATAGAGGAAGGGACTTAGCACACAGCCCTGGGGAGCTCCTGTACTTAGTACCAGGGTAGAAGAATGGTGAGATCCCATTCTTACTGACTGTGGCCTATCTGTCAGAAAATCCTTTATCCACATGCAGATCTCCTGAGGTAATCCCAGGTTGATCATAAATAAATAAATCATAAATAAAATATAAATTCATAAATAAATTTATATTTTATATAAAATTTGGTTTTTTTAAAATACTTTGTTGTAGTTAATTTCATATTATTTATAATTTATATAAATTATAAATAAATAATTAATAAATAAAATATAAATTCATTTAAAAATATATATTTTATATAAAATTTGGGTTTTTTTAATTTCTGTTGAACACTGCCCAGAATAGCAATTTGCAAGATGGGTGGTATACAAAACAAATAAATAGTTTCAAGTTAAGAAAAATTATTTTAACAGAATAAGCCTCCTTAATACTCTGCAGTGACCAACATTTTTGTAAAAAAGAATCATATGCAGGGATAATGTGGCATCCTGAAATCCTGGCAAAATCTCCCCCACCTCTCCTTAGGGGGCACAAGGAGGCTTTAAAAGGGAAAAAAAGGGATGCAGGCAGAGTTAGAGAGCACCAGAGGTGCTCAGAGCACACAAATGCTTGGTGGTGGGGGAGGAGGAACATTTTGCCTTCTCTTATTCAAAACCTTTTAAATCCTGAAGCAACTCAATTTCCTTAGATATACTGCTCTCCTGTCCTAATCAAAACAGAAAGAAGAAACGAGTGCAAAGCCAAGAATGCTAGAAATAAAAATAGCTTCTAATGAGGCTGTATTGCTTTTGTAGGAATAACTTTCCTTCTTTTAACCTACACTTGAAAGAACCATACACTGCACCTCCCAATTAAATACAAGAAGATTAGTAACTGAAGATTTGCATATAAGAGCCCAAGTGGCCCAGAAATCCACAGTCAAACCGGAGCGCAACGTCCATATTTTCAATCTCTAGGCATGAGGGTTCCGCAGATATGAAATCTGTAACAGTAGTACACTCTGAATTGGCTGTTATATACTGCCCTTTAGGAGACATGTATGTACTGTGATAAAATAATAGGCCTATTCTAATGTGACTTACTATGCTCAGCAACAGGATTTCAGCCATTGTCTTCGTGATGCATTTATTACCATCACAAATATACTTCACTTTGGTATTCAGTTTTGATGATATGTATACCATATAAGCTCTCTGGCTTTCCCTTTGCAGATCCTAGAACATATGTGCACAGAAGAGCCAAACACTAATCTTGTGTCCGTGCTCTGTATATTAATCTCTACCATAAAGGAAAGATGGGCCAAGCTTCTGGGATTATTCTTTTTACTAGAACCCCAACATCCACCAATCTCAATCAAGAGCCCCATAGAGGCTGGGCAGAAGGTCAGAGGAATATACTTGAAATTAAGAAACATTTGTAAAGCATCAAGAACATGAATAAGTGATTTCTCAGTATCTCAAGATAACAAAAAAGTATAATAATCTTTAGACTGTGCAATTAAATACCAAAGAGAGAAAAGAGAATGGGGAAGTTGAGAGATAAAAGCGACTGATTTCCACAAGTGTGTTTCACCCTGCCACCAGCCTAGTTTAGAATGAAAATGTATGCTAGACATTTAATTTGGGTTGAAAAAAACTATTTCAAACACAGAACAATTTGATTTTGAATGTATAAACAACTGGATCCGGCATTGCACAAACTGTCACCTAAACAGTTCTTATCACTTTTGTTGATGTTTAGTTGTTCAGTTGTGTCCGACACTTCGTGACCCCATGGACCAGGGCATGCCAGGTCCTCCTGTCTTCTTACCACTACCAACAGTGTTTTAAAGTCTGTTGCATTCTTACACAAGGCACCCAAATATTGGGGAAAATATTAACTACTTTAAACTTTATTGTAATAATTACCTTTCAGGCGCTGGGCGTCTCCATTCTGACTCCGGTTCAGCACTTCTTCTCCAGGTACTTTCACCATCTCGATCACCCCAACGGGACTCCTACATTTAAAGAAAAGTTTTAAAAAAGCAAACAAACCTTACAAGCCATTATGCAACTGGATATGATTCATGTTTTCACTTCCATACATTATAATAGCACAACTGTAACATCCACACCTGACTTTAAGAAAATTTCCAACATCCAATTTTAATATTTGGGAGATTTTTCAGTTTGGCCATCCATCCAACTGATGCAACTAGAAATTTTTATGTTTTGAACTGATCTTGTCCCTTTCTTTTCATCCCTGGAAATTTGTGCTTTCATCCTAGTTTTGTTCCTTCAAATACATGCCAGTACAGTATTAGCTTTCACCATTTATTTAAAGATTCACTTATTGTGACTGGAAGAAGCTAAACTAAATTTTTTTCACTTTCAATAGATTCAGTTCCACCATTGGTCTATTACAGAACTAGTTTCCTACACAATGGTTCACAGCATTTGGCAAAATATTTTTCAGATTTGCTTCTGTTAGGTGCCTAACTAGTTTTGTAACTCAATAACCACCTTGTAGAGTGTCTTGGTTACCTTTATAATTTTAAATACTTTTTAAACAGCTCTGAACTTTGTAATATTTGTTTTTAACTAATAACTGATCCTAAACATCTAGTTTTTCAAAGATGGTAAAGGCCTTGTCACTATAATGGCAGTATCATATGCATACGAACACTTACAAATCTATTTATTTATAAATATTTTTAAAATTTTAGTCCAGTGATGACATTATTGATTATATGGCAAGAAAACAAGTGGCAAATATGCCAAGAACAGTACATGTACAGTCGTGCCCCGCTTAATGATTACCCCGTATAACGACGAATCCACTTTTTGCGATCGCAAAACTATGTTTTAATGGTTTTTTTTTTTTGCTTTGCGACGATCGGTTCCCTGCTTCGGGAACCAATTCTTTGCATTATGGTGATCAAAACAGCCGATTGTCGAGTTTTCAAAATGGCAGCCGGCTGCACATAATGGATCCCTGCTGTGTTTTGGGACGGATTCCTCACTTTACAGGCACCGAAAATGGCTGCCCCTATGGAGGATCTTCGCTGGATGGTGAGTTATTCAGCCCACTGGAACGCATTGAACTGTTTTCAATGCATTTCAATGGGCTTTTTTATTTCGCTTTATGACGTTTTCACTCTACAGTGATTTCGCTGGAACGAATTAACTTCGTCAAGCGAGGCACCACTGTATCATAGTACAGAAATCCTAACACAATTTCAAATGTTAGCTTGTATCTATATACTTTTAAAACAAATACAGAAAAGATAAACAGACTTTTAATTTTTTGCCATAATTTACATCTGAGGACTTGACTGCATTTTCCCCCTTTACACAAGGAAGGCATTTACCTTCCTTGACAGTGGATCATCAAGATGTCTCCTCTCTTCTTCTCGGCGACGTTCTCTCTCTTCAATCTCCAGTTCTCTTTGCCGCTTCTTTCTCTCCACCTCTTCTAATTTTCTGACACGTTCCTGATATTCACGCATTTCTTGCTCACGTTTTTCACGTTCAGCACGTTCTTTTTCTTCTTGTTCTGTTCAAATAATTTAAGTAGATATATAAAGCATCATTCTATATTGGCTTTGAAAAGCTAACTACTTCCCCACATTTTTTCACTCTTTACAAACAACATTTTGTGCAAGTAAAATCTACTATTATTTTCAGGCTCAGTAAACCCAGTTCTACTGGTTACAGTCACAGCATACCTCAGAGGAGAAAAGCTCCTCATCCACTATTTGGGATGAGGAGTCTTATTTGGGAACATAAAGGTAAAGGTTCCCCTTGACAATTTTTTGTCCAGTTGTGTTCGACTCTAGGGGGCAGTGCTCATCTCCGTTTCCAAGACATAGAGCCAGCGTTTTGTCCAAAGACAATCTTCCATGGTCACATGGCCAATGCAACTTAGAAACGGAACGCCGAGGTGGTCCCTATTTATCTACTCGCATTTGCATGCTTTCGAACTGCTAGGTTGGTGGGAATTTGGGAACATAAGACTATACAATTAAGAATGAAACATCACCATATCCTTTCATTAAGAGGCTCCCATTATGTACCTTTAAGCAACTTTTCTTCTCGCAATCGTTGTTCTTCCTCCTCCTTCTCCTGATAATAAGCAATGCGCCTTTCCTCTTTGCGCTGTCTCTTGCGTTCCTCTAAACGGTTATGCTTTTCCTCTGCTAGTCTTTCTTCGAACTGTTTAAGTTTTTCCTATAACACATGTATACATGTACACATGAACAGTAATACTAACAGTGAACTCCAGAGATAGTAAAAGAACTGACAGACCAGTGGTCAGACATGGGCCTTGAAGTACCTGGACACTCGGACAAGATTTGTACATTTAACGCTTCCTCTAATCCTAAATCCCTTATTAACATCCAAAGACTAGAATTCCAATGGGATCAGAAAATACCATGGAGCTCAATGAATCCACATTTTTATCCATATATATGACAGTTAGAGGACTACAGCCTGTCAGCTCATTCATAAGTCAACACACAAGAAGCTCTATTTACATGGGAAGCTGGTCATTGGCCAAACAGAAAGATAAATATTATATATATATTATTGCACCAACATACAAATATAAAGTAGCAGTTACATAGCAAAGCATGGTCAGATGCTATGGACCTCTGTACACATGTGGAGGCTTTTAAGAAACTAACATGCTATGAATAGCCTTATGTGGTAGTGGTAAAAATATAGTAGCCTTGTCTTTCAAATTTGCACAAACAATACAATAAATAAGTGCATTGCACATGTAGTTTCACATTCTGTTTTTATGAAGTTCTATCCTATAATCCAGGGGTTTCCAAATTATGGCCCTCGGGCCACATCCAGCCTGCCTGGCCTTTTTATCCGGCCCATGCCTCTGTGTCTGCATGCATATGCGCGCTCTTCTTCAGCCCTTGAAAATACCACAAGTATATTATGTGGCGCTCTGTGTGAAAAGCTTGGAGACCACTGCTATAATCAAACAGGCACAATCCTACATGTGCAAGTGTGAACAACAGAAAAATCTGATTTACCTCATAAACAGATCGTCTTGCTGTTTTGAGCTTAGTTATAAATGTATGACGGTCCTCTACCATCCTTGACAACCTTTTCTTATGTTCAAGGGCCTTTTCTCGTTCCATCTGCATATTTGTGATCTGAAATATATGCAAAAAACCAAGTCAACATCAGACTGATCTGTACGACTTATGTTTTGAATGTTTTTAATAGGCCTCAAACCCTTTTTTATTTCTTGTTTAGATACCAGTACTAGCTAAAATCAGCCAAGCCAGTTAAAAACTGAAGAAAACAACAGTGAGCCTATTGTTTGTTACACAGTAATATGAAGAAATATGACAGTTTGCAAAGCAAGCCTTAATTACAGTAACTGATGCGCCCTGCCACAGCATCAGTCCTGCCCGTCCTGCCAATGGCACCCGGAACTCCACTCTCTTCCTGCTCAGCTAGCCACTCCAGGCAGGAGGACAAGTCTCCCCGCATGGTTGCTGAGTGGTCAGCTAAGCATGAAGTCAGCAGAGCTCCAGGCGCCATTGTCAGGATGAGCGGAACCGATGCTGCGGCAGGACATGTGAGTGGGGACGTTCTGGTTCTGGCAGCCAGACCCTTGTTGGGTCCAGCTGCATTAGGGATATTCATATACAAATACAAATATCCCAATTTCTACTCTGCATCAATTACATAATTTTCCAGTTAAAATCTTGTTCTCTGACTGCAAAACTCGTAAGTAGCAAAGACTGGAATTATTTGATAGCTATGTTTCTAAACACCGTTCATTATTCATTACCACATATACAACAACTTTTGCCCTCAAAAAGATTATTAAATACACTGCCTATAAAAAGAATTACAATAAGCTGAATCTCTTACTTTAAAAACAAATGGAGAGAAAAAAATGAACAAAATTACTTTTATACCAATTTCTTCCAAATACCTTACCCTTTCTTCTTCTTGTTGTTCCCAAAGATCCATATCTCTGATTCTTTGCTCTTCATAGGCACTCTTAATCAATGGAATTTCTTCTAAACGTTTTGCTCGTTCAAAATAGTCAATCTAAACAAAATTGAAAATGTTCATTTTTCTAACTGAAGTAGAAAGGGGGAAAAATCTTTATTAGAAAAACGTATTATCTTTTTCTTATACCTTTTTCTCCTGATTCTTCAAACGTTCTTGGAGTTCTTTTTTTTCTTTTTCCAGCTGTTCAACTTGTTTTGCCATAATGAAATCTGGGTCCAATTCTTCAAGATCCTGCAATCAAACAATCCTGTTAATCCTATTTTGAAATATTCCACAACTTCCCATTGGATGAAAACCTACTTTTTTCTCAGTCCTTTGGAGCATTTTTGAAATCTTTTAATATTCAGAAACTGACTACATTTATTCCAATAAGTTTAGGAAAAACTGTTAAACTTAGGATGGTCATTCAAGACAAGATAAAGGTGTATGATTGTTCAACTGGGATTGACCATTCACTCATAAATCAGGTTTTTAGGCTAGGCATGCTTTCACTCTTGACTACGAATACCTAAGGAGCACTGATGGCTTGAAGTTACTTTCACCAAGTAAGAACTAGTGTGCCAGCTGCAGCCAATCAGATATAGAAATGCCTAGCCAGTTCTTTCTTGTTCCGTTAACATGAATGAGAGCAACACAAAGAATTTCCACTGTCTCTGATAACAAATAAAAATGGCTAAAAAGCCCTCAGAGAAAAGGAACATGTTTCTTACTTCAATATCAATATCTTTGAAGGCCTTTGCTCCCAGCTCAGTTTTCTTGATCTGCTCCAAACGTTCACGAACAGTTTTCTTTTTGATTTGCTCATGTTCCTGAAGAATGCGCTCTTTTTCTCGCTCTTTTGCCTCCTGCCGCAATCTCTCCTCTTCAGCTTTGCGAACCTTTTGGAGTTCAGCTTCACGCTGTTCTAACTCTTCTTTTTCACGCTGAATGTTCAGACTTTCAAGACGTTCTTTCCTTTCCTCAATAGTTTGCCGGCGCGCAAGAATACGCAGATGTTCTTTCCTTGAATTTTTTAAGTAAGCTGTAACAGCCTGTTGGTGTTGCTCTTCCTTCTCTAGCTACATAAAATGAGAGGCACAATATTATACTCTGTAAAATGCAAATGTCAGGAGAAATAAAACCACAGAACTACTAAAGCAGTTTTTGTGATGTGCTCATGGCTGAATAGGTACCCAGTGTGATGTAGTGGATAAAGTGATGGAGTAGGACTCTGTGGAGACCAGGGTCTGAATCTTCACTTGGCCACAGAAATTCACTAAGGAAGTGGAACTGGTAAAACCACTCCTTAAATATCTCACTTTGAAAGCACTATTAGGATCACTATAAGTTGGTTCTGACTTGATAGCACAAAACCATGGCTGATTATTACGACAAATTAAATAGTTATAATATCCCAGAACAAAGAAATACTTCAACATTTATTTAAGACTGCAACATCAAAAATTGTGACTTCGAAGAAACTGGAACATACTGCAATAAATCTGTCAGTTTGTTTGTTTGTTTGTTTGTTTATTAAATTTATACCCCGCCCCTCTAGACCACGTCTACTCGGAGCGGCTTACAGCATAAAATAAATCAATATAAAAAAATGTAAAAATACAATTACAATATTAATTAAGGCAATTAATTTAAAAAAGGAGTACCAAGATGGGACAGAATAAGAAAAGAGGAGAAAAAAAAAAGACTTAGCTGACTGGAGGGAAGGCCTGCTTAAATAGCCAAGTTTTTAATTGGCTTTTAAAAACACCCAGCGAGGGTGCCAGCCGAATTTCTGTTGGGAGGGCATTTCATAGCCGAGGGGCCACTGCCGAGAAGGCCCAGTTTCTAGTTTTTTCCTTCCGAGCCTCTCTCGGCGTCAGACCCCTCAGCCGTCCCTGCTGGCAATGACGGGTGATTCGGGTAGATCTGGGTGGAAGAAGACGATCTGCCAAATATTGAGGTCCCAAACCGTTTAGGGCTTTATAAGTGATCATTAGCACTTTGAAGTCGACGCGGAAACGGATGGGCAACCAGTGCAGAGCAGCCAGAGTGGGGGAGATGTGTTGGTGTTTTCTCACCCCACTAAGGAGCCTGGCTGCCGCATTCTGGACCATCTGAAGTTTCCGCGTCAGCCTCGAAGGCAGTTCCACGTAGAGTGCGTTACAATGGTCTAATCTCGAGATTACGAGCGCATGTACTAGAGTAGTGAGGGGCCCCCCATCAAGATATGGACGCAGCTGGGCAATCCGCCATAGATGAAAATAGGCGGAACGGACCACGGACGCCACCTGGGTTTCCATGGTTAGCAGCGGGTCCAGATGTACCCCCAAGCTGCGAACCTCATTCTTTGCGGCAAGGGTCGTCCCCCCGAAAGAAAGGGAGTTACCTATACCACTGACGGAAGGCCCACCCACCCTTAAGACCTCCGTCTTGTCTGGGTTAAATTACAATACAAAAGTGACAAGTATACTAGGAGGTAGCAGGGTTCTCATACCCAGAAAAACCCATACATTAGTATCTAGAAGTGACGAGGAATGCAAACATAATTTTTTTAAATGTCTGGTAAATTTCTCTGTGGAATTAATAGAGAACATGTGGGAATTCATGCTAGATTATACACATTGAGAAACCTCAAAATGGGATCAGTACTTTTTATCAGTATGCAAAACTTCTAAAAACCCTACTTACATAAGACTCAGCACAGATACTCTCTCTCTCTCTCTCTCTCTCTCTCTCTCTCTCTCCAATGTTTCTCTGAAGAGTTTTTTGTTTAAAAGTAAAAAACTGTCATGTCAGAAGCTAAAATGTCACATTGAAAAGAAAATGTATTTCTCCAACAAGGCATCTTTCAATTGCTTTATTCCTTCAAATATTCCTCTTAATCAGCTGAACCCAGGCACACAGAGAAAAAAGAGGCCTCAGTGCCAGCAACAATATAAACTAGAGAACTTGATTACACTTCATGCCATTTGTCCCTTTCTCTCCTCTCTGCTAGTGACAAAGCCCTACTACTTTTGTTATTCAGGAGTCACAACTGATAGGGACTGTTATGGTTAAAGAGGAAAAAACATTTTGTATATGCTCTATGGATAATTTTTTATATAACTTAATGTGCAATTGCTCATGAAGACATTTCTTGTATTTTGGTGCAACTGTTATGCAGGAAATAAAGTGAAACAGAACTTGTAACAATAAAAATTCAATAGCTTTGAAGTAATTATAAGAAATATATTCAGAAATAAAGTATGATGATTAATAACAGTTGCTCTTTTCAATTATTATTATAATGTATATTCAATACAAAAATTACTTTGCAGTATATGAACTGTAAGATTTAAGAAGACCTCTGTTAACTGCCTCATAAGAGTTTTGAACAACTTAGAAAGTATACTGAAGCATTCTGAAATGTGTTCTCAATTTAGTTCAGTGACAGAATGACTCACACCAGCCCTCACTGGCATAACACAATGTTCAATGGGTTCAGATTATGATATCTGCACCCAACACTTCTCTTTTAATTATCATACATCTCCTTCATAAAATCTTCTCCATTTCTTTTTTTAAAAATGATGCATTTCAACAAGATGGGAGTTAAATATACTGTGGAGGAAAAAAGGAGTACTTTAAATCATGACTAAATATACAAGGCTTCTGGTGTGGTGCAATGGCTAGTGATGAACTAGGACTCTGGAGAATAGGGTCTGAATCCTCGCTCCACCATGGAAACTGCCTAGGGGAGCAAAACTGGTAAAACCACTCCTTAAATATCTCACTTACCTTGGAAACTCTGTTAGGGTCACTGTATGTCAGTTCCAACTTGACAGAACATAACGGCAACAAAAGTACATTAAAGAGCCCCAAGAAGCATCAATATTCTTTGAAGGTATACCTAAAGGCTGTAACTTACCAACAAGTGAGGTGGTTTAATCACTTCAAGTGCTTTAGCAAGGGCTGAAGACATAGCTGTCAATTGGTTCCTAATCTGCTCGGAAGGCATGCTTTGCAACTGAGGCCCAAGAGGAGCATCTTCCCGAGTGCAGTAATTCAAATCTGATCCAAAACTCAATGTTCGTGTGGTATGATCAATACGAACCTTTTAAAATGAAAGGCAAATTAAATTCAGTACATTATTTATTCCCGAGGACATGTGGAACATTTTTATTCTTTTTTATATACTTTCCCCAATCAATTATTATCCTTTTATACTACTGCAACTAAACTCTGAAAGTAATAGTATGGCCAGCATCCTGTTGAAGTCCTGATGGCAATGCTAGCTGTAAGCTGCTGTTTTTCAATTTGGAGGTCAGCAAGACTCATGATAAAATAAAGTCACATGCATGCTGAAATTGAAGAAGGAAGTTATTAAGTTATTAATCTACTGCTGACAGATAAGTCATTCCAGTGAAGATGCAGAGCTGTGCAAAAAATACTGGTCAATATACAATTGAAGAGTTCTTCTGAAATGAAATTATAAAGTGTAAGATAAAGTAATACCTAAATGAAACAAGAAAACGATTTCCCTTCTACTGGAAAGCTCTTGTCTAAAGACATCTTAGATGGTTAATCATGAAGTTTCATTCATGAAATCACAAATATCTACATAAAACTGAACTAGAGAAAAAAGGGATTCTAAAACACAAGATACAATCTATTTTAAAGTCCCATCTTTTAGATTAGGCATCCTTCAGTTTCGAGAGACGATGGTAACATGCTCTGAACAGAGGACTTGGAACAGTGTCTAGTGTGGCTGAGAAGGCCAATTAGAGAGTGACAATCCTTTTCACACTGAAGACAAATACAAACTGTCCCCTGTCCAGCTTTTAAAGTCCCATCTAATAAATGGTATTTCACTTTTCCTACATATAAATAGAATGTCTGTTCTAAGACAGAGCTTGTCATCTGTAGTACAGTATCCGTCAATCAACTGTACTATAAGCAATGTTTTAAGAATCTATCATCAAGTTAACAGGCAGCACATATTAACTGATCAATCAAATAAATGTTGGGACTCCCACTTCTAACAGTATTGCCAGAAATGTAGCTTACGTACACCAACAGTCAACTTGGAAAAGAAAAGCAATTGTTCCACAAAAGGAAGTGCCAGGTTTTAAGGGCAAAAGTCAGGTTGATATTGACATGAGTATATATAAACAACAGTAACTTCACTGTGGTGCTTACTTGCAAATCGCAATGTCTAGCCGCATCTACTATTGCACGTTCCAGTTGGAAAGCATCCACAAAAGGAACCAGAGTAGTGAGATGAGAAAATTCAATGCTTTGGTAAATCTGAGCCACCTGCATAACACATGAATGAATATACAACTGTTTTCAATCAATTAAATGGGTGAAGCATTAAGAACTCTGGACTACTTAATCAACAGCTGAAACCATGTTAATGTTTATGGAAAATTTAGTACCTTCTGTCAATATTTATTCAAATGAACTGTTCATTGCTGAGGAACAGCTATGTATGAAGGAGACTGGCAGCAATCACTATATACAGCAAAGCTGCTAATTAGCCTTCAGCAGTTTATTTAGCACACGAGAAATAACGCTGCTTACTAATACCAAAGTAGCAGGTCAATGTTATGTGCACAAGGAAAAACCTAAACACCTTTAAATGAAATACATCTGCATAGGCAAAGCATGAAGGGTTTCAATAATAAGATATTTAGCCCTACAACTAGATAAAGCCTATTCATCTCCTACAAGTTGTTCAGAATACAACACAGTTGCTTAATCAGTTTATACCATTTACCATTATGTGTTAGAAGCACTGTTCAGGTAACTGATACACCCAAAACATGGAAAAAGGATAAACATGGCAGCAAGCACCCTCACACAATTTAACTATATTCACTGTTTCATATGTACAATTCCAAAAAAAGTGTATATTAGCTGCAAATGCTTCATGGAAGCTTGGTTATTCAGCTTTGCCAGCAGCCATATACAAAGCCTATGCTTGCAACCATATGCAAGTAGAAAGACTGTAGAAATAGTATAATGAGCATATAGATGGGGAAGAGAGATTTTTAAGGCAACCCACATTCCCTCCCACTGTTGTTCACTTGTTAGTTAGGCATCCTTCAGTCTCGAAAGACTATAGTAACGTGCTCTGTATGGAGGACTTGGAACAGCGTCTAGTGTGGCTAAGAAGTGTGGCTCAAATACAATCTGTATCCCGTCTAGCTCCCTGATTTTGCAGCCTTCGTGACTGCCTCTTTGCCTCGGCCTGCTGGACAAGTATCTCTTCAAACTGGGAGAGGCCGTGATGCACTGCCTGCCTCCAGGCTGAATGCTCAGATGTCAGGGTTTCCCATCTGTTGATGTCCATTCCTAAGGCCTTCAGATCCCGCTTGCAGATGTCCTTGTTCACTTGTATATGCTACAAAAGCAGCTTGTAGAAATCATTCATTACTGTGGCATTACCCACAGTGGCAAAAATGCTATCAAAACACTCCCTAATGCTGCCTACAACATATGTTAATTACAGGGAAAACCATGTAATTACGCTACTTTACTAAGGAAAAAAGCAGAGAAGGGGCTTTCAGATTTGCAGAACTCCAATTCCTAGATTTCACCATGGATTTCTACAACCAGAAACCTGGGAGATACAACCAAAATTTAGAAGTCTACAGACTGGCTTTTCTTACCTACATAGGTGCCTCTACCTGCATGATTTTCCTTTTCAAAAAATAGGAAACTACTTCCTGGGTGTTGCAAAGGTTCCTGGGATTTGTGGGGCTTTATGGGAAAGGTAGTTTTGAGGGAGCCTAAGCAACAGCAAGACTACTTCCCCCCCCCCCGAAGCTGCTTGATATCCTAAGCAATTAGCAAGAGAAGGCTGACTGTCAGGATCTCCTGTATACAAATACAATTAAAACAAGGCCATCCTTTAGAGGTTTCACTAACATTTAACACACATAAAGGGAAAAAATCTCAAAGCACTTTACTGATTAAAAAAATGAAGAATTCAGGAAGATTTACTGTAAAAGTACATTCTACTTCGAATTATTTGTTTTATAATAATACCTGCTGAAGCAATCTAAGGATGGTGTTGTTTTGCAGATGAGGAATATACAGCTGCAGTTCTGGTTCCTTCTCAGACTGGTCTCTTACCCAGTTTAAAACCTGTACAGAACAACAAATACAGACAAACTGGTTTCTACAAACTATAATATCAAACTTCCCAGAAGTAAAGTTGCAAAAGCTGGTATAACTTGTCAGAAATGTTAACTCTAATAAAAATTTCCAAATAAGAGATACATTTTTTGATTTACAATAAAATGAGAATGTCTGCTGTCAAGAAATGTAAGTTTTTTTATTTGATACACTACAGTGACTTGTATAAACATTCAATGTATTAGATATATTCATTAAGAAATAAATGGCAAAGCTCCTACAACTGAAATATAATCTAAAACACTTTTTTCAACTTCAGATATTCCCAAGCCCTTACATTACATTCAATGGTTAATGTGCTCCTTTTCAATATTTAACAAGGCATATAAAGTTAAATATTGTTTGAAGATAACTGACAATGATGATTATGTTTGTCACACTGTTAATTTACCTTCCTGTATTATTAACACATGAGAAGTACCTTCTCTCACACAGGTATATAAACTACAATGACACATGTCTCAGTTAGTACAATGCAGAAGAATTACTTCCACTGACATTACAATACTAAACAAATTTGCTAAGAAATATGATCCCAAATACTTCTCAGTAAACATGCACAGAACTGCACTGCAACAGTCAAGTTATTCTTTTTCCCGGATTTACACACCACCTCAATAAACAAAATTCAAACTCAGACATTTCTTGTTATTCTTTCTTATGAAGTACCAATATAGGGGACCCACTATGGGGCAGCTTTTAATTTATGCAAACAGGCCATTTTAAATTTACAGAGTTTAAATACAATGACCAAAATCATATTAGTTACATATGCCAACATAACATAATCAGTATAAATCTTGGCACTCAAACAATCACAAGGTAAGAAGTCAATGTAGATATTTGCAGATGCACAATGATCTGCATGACTGAGCCTACAACAGAAAATACAGTACTGGCTCAACTTGATATAATTCGCTGCTGTGATTTACACCAACTCTATTATGTTAGCAATAGGATTTTGACTAATATGAATAAACACAGATGGGAATGCTAGTCCATGATATAAACTTGTATATGAAGCACATGTTCAGAGGAGTTAGCATTTCATCAGCAGCTTCACTAGTAAAAGATTTCACAAAGTTCCCCCGAAATTCCAATCAAGAACTGAGGGAGGGAGGGAGGGAGGAAGATCTCACAGAAATAATCAACATACAACTTCTTAACATTTTAAAAAATCACATTTGCTATGGAATATTTATATATGTGTACCTTGCATACACGACCACATAACTTCAGGGGATGAAAATCTACTTCAAGCCAGTTATAAAGCTCCTTTACTTCTGGAACAACGTGCTGTACCACATTAAATCTCACCTAGGAGACAGGATGATTTTTTAAAAAACGTAACTAAACAATCTGCAGGACTAATAATTAATTCCAACAGATTTGCTTAAACAAAGACTGCAACTTAAAATAGCCAAAATAAATGGCTAAGAAATACAGAAACATACTTCTCATGTGCAACCAATGTAACACAGCATATATCTCCACAAGCTGTAATAGCTGCAATGCCACACTGTAACAACATGTATTATTGGGAATTGCTAGACAAAAATCATTAAATCAAAAGCATGAAGTGCACCCCTTGCAGGTAGATAACATTAAAGGATCGGAATGATATTGCAGGAAGAAAATAGCATCTGTGAGGTAATGAATGAAACATTCAGCTTCCACTGGCATTATATACTCCGCACATTTTACAGTACTTGTTTCTTTCAACCAAGGATATTAGGCTGTCTTGCTCTGACCCAAATAAACAAACAAAACCCTGTACATTTATAAAATTTTGTAAATAAAACGATGCCAACTACAAAAAAGGTACACAAAATATTATTTACCATATCATTAATAAGAGTTATCCGTGTAGGTGGGGCTTGGAGGCCCAACAGTGTTGCCAATCGCCTCTGCTTCTCAACAATTATGCCATCCATGTCCAGAAGTCGAGCAATGTCAGTTCTTTCAGGAGTTATTGGAATCGAGAGAGTGGCCAAAAGAACTCTTGTTGACATCCTTTGGACAGAAGATTGGAAGGAATAAACTCTGAATATTATCCCTTTGGCCATTTTTAAACAATCACCTTACGCTCCATTCAACATGGCCTAACTTTTAACTTATAAATACAACTCCCAAACTACTATCTGAAACACTCAATGTATTTCAAACGTTAAGGCAAAACCATACATTTGCTCACCTCTGCATCTCTTCCTGTGTGAGGTTCTTTCGCATTTCCCTTGAAAGGTGATATAGACGATGAAGTGTGGATGCATGAAAAAGTGCATTTCCTGATTTCCAAAATACAGTAGAAACTTTATGATAATAGTTTGCCATCAACTGGGGCTTGGGTGGCTTTTTTGATAAGGAGAACAAACCATGTATATCCTCCACAGCTTTGAAGGCTTCCTGAAAGGAAATAATTACATGTTATACCATATATAAGAAAACATTGGCAAATACAAATTACTGACCTGTTTGAGACATACAGTGGTGCTCCGCATAGCGAGGATAATCCATTTTGGAAAAATTGTCGCTATCTGGATTCATCGCTATGCGGGGCAAAAAAAGCCCATAGGAATGCATTAAACGCGTTTTAATGCATTCCTATGGGCTTTTTTTGCCCCGCATAGCGATGAAGATTTTGCGATCGCATTGCGATGTTCCCTATGGGGAAAAATCGCTTTACGATTTTTCCCCATAGGGAACATCGCAATGCGATCGCAAAATCTTCATCGCTATGCGGGGCAAAAAAAGCCCATAGGAATGCATTAAACGCGTTTTAATGCATTCCTATGGGCTTTTTTTGCCCCGCATAGCGATGAAGATTTTGCGATCGCATTGCGATGTTCCCTATGGGGAAAAATCGCTTTACGATTTTTCCCCATAGGGAACATCGCAATGCGATCGCAAAATCTTCATCGCTATGCGGGGCAAAAAAAGCCCATAGGAATGCATTAAACGCGTTTTAATGCATTCCTATGGGCTTTTTTTGCCCCGCATAGCGATGAAGATTTTGCGATCGCATTGCGATGTTCCCTATGGGGAAAAATCGCTTTACGATTTTTCCCCATAGGGAACATCGCAATGCGATCGCAAAATCTTCATCGCTATGCGGATTCATCGTTAAACGGGGCACCCATTAAGCGAGGCACCACTGTATAAGTATATATTCACTACACCAACTTATAAACCAACTGTACTAAATAGCAAGACTGCACTAAGTACATCAAAGTGTATTCATCACTGTGGTACAAACATACCACAAACCCCTAAGATTAGTGAAAGCTTAATGAATGTGAAAGAGGAAACTGGGGAAAATAGCAGATGATGATTGTGTAAGTACATACCTGCCATAGTTCCATGCTAATAGCACTATCTAACTGTACAAGCCTGGTCTCCAAATGCATTGATTGACTCTCTGGATTATTGAGGTTGATAGCCGTACTTTGATTGTGATGACGCTGGATCTGTCCCAAATGCATTCTTAAGTTGTCACAGAGTTTGCGAAACTCAGCCTTACGGGTATATTGCAAACAGAACTTGAAAGCTGGAAGATTATATTATGTTATGTTCTTATGTTAAAGATTACAGTCAATAACGAATAAATTATTCTAAAATTCCAAGCCTACTAATATCTAAAAACTTAAGTTATCTTGATGCTGGTGAAGAGTTCAGTGCTTCCATCTAGTCCCTTAATAAGAAGTCAGGTATAACTCAAGTTGATGTTATTTTCAGCATATTTTTAAAACTAAGAAGCATCCTGATTTGATTCGAGGGGGAAAATATTCACCTATTTAGCCCTCAGAAACAGATAGCCAATAAGAGATTCCAACATTTTAAATTTATTGCTTAGAAATACTGTACAAGTCTCACAGTAATTACAATTTTACCTTGCTGTGCAATATCATGGTAAAGTCGTTCCACTCTAGAATTGTTCCTAAGAAGATCCAAACACTGTCTGTATGATTCCCACAGAAATTTAACCCAAGGAGTCAGAAGTAACCGATCAGTACGATCCTGGGTGTCTTCACCACTTACAGCACTTAGAAGAACACTACAGTAAAAAACAACAAAATAGAAAACAAAAAAGGGTTGTTACTCTGTACCATGTTTTCTCATGTTTCTTTTGAAAGGGTGGCACAATGAGTATTAATGAGAAACATAACATAGTTTGGGAGCATCTTTCAAGGTCATGTGAATGCTCCTTTCTTCTTTTAACTACATCCATGTTACACTGAAAGCTGATCAAAGCTAAACAGAACACTAAAGAAGACTCAACTTGGTAAACATTTTCATAAGTTAGGACATAGACTATGAATTAGCTGGACCATTTTTTCCCAATATGTAGTTAAGCAATATTTTTAAACAATTTTAAAAAAAATCAAAGAAAAGTCCTTTTTACCTCTCTGGAGTCTGAATATTATCCAGGTCCTCTATATCTAGTACCATCTGTTGGGACTCTTCTTTAGCAGCTTCAGTTTTCTCTTCTGCCAATTTTAAATAAGCCCGAACTACATCCTCCAGTGACTTGATATTCACCTGTATCAAAATAAGAACAGCTAAAGTTGTTTTTCTTAAAATACAGAATAGCATTTATATAGTTTATTGAAAAATTATTTCAAATAACAGAATCTAGCAATATATTTGAGAGCAAACATGTTTCCTTCTATTATTTTGTTTCTGGAAGGATCTACTGGCATTACAAAAATTTATTACACTAAAGTTGTCTAATTAGCTGAGAACTACCTTGTAGCTGAGTGACAATCCCACATATAGTGAGGGAGCAGCAAGCATACTTTTTCCCCAAAATGCAGAACATTTTAAAAATTATTATTAAGATACTGGCTTTTAATTTCCTACTATTCAGATTTTCCAAAAAATTTACCTGTTGGCAGATGTTCTTGTACTGATATAGCCCTTCCTTTGCCAGGTGGCTCTTGCGAAGGTCCACACAGAGCTCCAAATACTTTAGCATAATTGGTTCGTGTATCTTTTGCCATGTTCGGTGTTTTTTACTTTTCATAACATCGTAGAGAACATCAAGAGCAGGTTGCTTCTTCCCAACCTCCAGAAATTCTGGAAAAAAAAGTTAATTGGGATATAAGACTCACTCTAAAAAATTACAAGATGTTACTTTTATGTAAAGAAAAGTCTTGACAAAGGAAAACTATAATATTCAAGTTCAGGCTTTGAAACAGCCACTCAAACAACCCACTGGGGACCAAAGGCCACTTACGACAATTAAAATCATGCAATAATAAGTTTAAAATGTCACACAAAATCAAACATTAGTCAGGATTAAAAATCAAAATTGAAAACATTTTTAAAAACATTTAAAAATATCGTAATTTCAAAAGATAAGTGTTCCCTAGACATTTATCACATAAAGGACTGCCTGAAAAGAAAGGTCTTTAGCTGACAATGGAAAAACAAAAGGGAGAAGGCAATCTGGCTTCTTAGGGCAACACATTCTGAAGCCTGGATGAAGCCACTAAGAAAGACCCTCTTTCATTTCTTCACCAAACAAGCTTAGGAAAGCGGTGGAACTGAGAAACGGGCCTCTCCAGGAGATCTTCGAAGCCTAGTAGGCTCATATGGGGTGATACAGTCCTTCAAACAGACTGAACTGAACCATCAACAACCCCCCCCAAACTATCCCACCCAGTGGTTTCGTGTAAATGTTGAATAATATGGGGGACAGAGCTGAACCTTAGGGGACACCACAGGCCAGTGGCTGGTGTATCGAACTGGAATTTCCCAATACCACCTTCTGAGCTGAGCCATCCAGGAAGGATTGAAACCACTGTACAGACTGAACTGAACCATCAACAACCCCCCCCAAACTATCCCACCCAGTGGTTTCGTGTAAATGTTGAATAATATGGGGGACAGAGCTGAACCTTAGGGGACACCACAGGCCAGTGGCTGGTGTATCGAACTGGAATTTCCCAATACCACCTTCTGAGATGAGCCATCCAGGAAGGACTGAAACCACTGTAAGAGCCATCCCAGAAAGGTAACCCAGACCGATACCACAGTTAATGCTAACAAAAGCTGCTGAGAGATCAGCAGAACCAACAAGGGCACACTTTCCCAATCCCAGCGCAGGTTGTCTACCAAGGTGACCAAAGCTATCACTGTTCCATAATCAGGCCTGAAGCCAGACTGAAATGGCTCTAGATTATCTGCTTCATCCAGAAACCTCTGGAGTTGAGATGCAACAGCATGTTCCAAGACCTTGCCCAAAACTGGAAGATTGGAAATTGGTCAGTAATGATCCAAGACAGTGGGATTCAATTAGGGCTTTTAAAAACAAAGATCTTACTATTGACTCTTTTACACATTATGGTACCTTGCCTTGTTGCAAGGAGGCATTCACCACTTCCATAGCCAATTCAGACAGACCCCCCTCTGGCTGCTTTTATAACCCAGGAAGGCCAAGTGTTCAGCACATGTGAAATGGCTTTCACCTGTCCAAAGATCCTGTCCACTTCTTCAGGCTGCACCAACTGAAACATATCCATTATAACAGGATACACAAGGGCCAAAGTTACCTCAAGAGGACTTGCATCAATTACAGCCTTTAAGTCAGAACAGATCTGAGCGACTTTCTCTGAAAAGTGCCATGAAAAATCTTCACAGTGGACAGCGGCCTTCTCTTGGGGCCATGATAGGTTCAGGGTCTGTGCTTCAAGTTAAGTGTTCTGTGTGAACCAAACTGTGTGTATGTATGATTGAGACTAAGCCACGTTACTGTATCTTATTCACTTGATCATTTTATTTTCCCTGTGTGTTATGTAAATAAACCTTGTTCTTTTATTTGTTTAAAAATCCATCCCTGGTCTGTGTGACTTCTTATAGGGAATGGTTGGTGGCAGCTTAGTGAAACTGTGGCATGTCCCAGTAGGTCTGGGTTTGTCACAGGGCCATCTGTGCAACAGGCCTTTGACTACCCAGAAGAGCTCTGGTGGACTGCACTGTTTAGATGCAATGGTGGTGCAGAATAGTTTCTCCAGATTACACATACCAATGGACTCTAGCCTGTGTTTGATCAGAGCTACTCTGGGTTTTCCACCATTATTGCTCTAGTCTCCATTCCACTCGTTTCACCATCCTCAGCTCCTTAGTAAACCAACGAGCAGGTGTGACTGTGCTCCATGGGTAGGGACGTTTAGGAGAGAGCATTTTAATAGCTCCATGTTCCAGAGATCACCAAGGGCTCGAGAGGACTGTCTGCCAAGTTAGCCAGAAATTCCCCAAGAAACCATATGGATCCACCAGTTCTAGGGCAGACCATTTTAACTGACCTTCCAACCCTGCAGACGCTCGGTTCTAATAAGCCTAAATCCTACCAGGAAGTAATCTGTCCATGACAATGGAACTACTGAGTATTTCTCCACACCCAGATCACCATCATCCTACCCAATTCAGAAAACCAGGTCAAGAGTATGTCCTGCAATGTGAGGCCAGATACCACTTGGGATAGCCTCATGATTGTCATGATAAACATGAAATCCTGAGCTGCTTCTGATAAACTGGTCTCTATATGTTGAAGAACTTTTTTCCTTTATAGTCCTTCTTTCCTTCATAAGATACAATCTATCACGTAGGTCTATGCCTCCTTCATTCTATCCTTACAACAACCCTGCAATGTAGCTGACAGTGACTGGCCTAGCTTTCCAAACTAACCAAAATTACACATTACCGTTACTCATTACAGTTGAGTAATGATTTCAAGCTGGGTCTCCGAAATCTTAGTCCAGAAGATTTGGACTAGGGTTATTGACAGCCTGCATCACACAGGCTGTCAATAACTCACATTGGATACTCATTAGTCTATTTGCGTGTGTGTGTGGGGGGGGGACCAGAAAAATCTGACTCACTCCTAACCAGAAATAATACAGTGGAACCTTAACTTATGAACATCTCTACTTATGAGCATTTCAACTTATGAACAGCTCTGTTCGCAAAATTTTGCATCAACTTGTGAACTTCGACATACGAACGGAAAAAGGCAGGGGAAAAGGACGGGAAATTCAAACCGTTAGTGGCGAAGAGGCTGCTTCTTTGTAGGTCTTTTGCCCCAATGGTTAGAGCAGGGCATCAAGGAACTTTTCTACTCCTGGAGTGCAGGAGGAAGGAGAGGTGGGGTGGCTCCGGATCGCTGCTGGGCGCGGGAAGATGGTGCGTTCCCTACATATCCCTGGCACGGGTCTACTTCGTGAGTCTACTCACGGATAAGTGCCACCAAAAGCACGGGTCAACTCATGAGTAAGAGCCGCTGAAGGTCCTGGGCAGGACACGCAGGTCGGAGAGGCTCCATGGACAGGGGTGTGGGAGGAGGAGGAAAGAGAAGTGCTTTGGAAGCCCAGGAATACTCTGCAGAGGCTTCAGACTGGCAAGGTGCTGCTTTTTCCTTTTAAAAAAGTTGTTCTGGGTGGGTTTTGGAGGGTAGGTTTGGGCTGTGGGGGTTATGTTTCTGTGTTGTTTTGTCTTTTGGCAACTTTTTTTTTTTGCAGTCCCAGCGTGGAATTTGCTCCAATGTTTA